TAATTTCTTACACAAACACACACACACACACACACACACACACACACACACACACACACACACACACACAATGAAGATTTTTAAACAGTAGTGCATATAATTTATGTACATATAAAAATATATTTTTTTTAGGCATAATTAAATAAATCAGATTCACAAGGCAAATGATGACAAATGATGACAAAAACAGTGTGCATGTGTGTGTGTGTATATATATATATATATATATATATGTATGTGTGTGTGTGTGTGTGTGTGTGTGTGTGTATGAACTATTACTTCAAATTTACTTGATAACATACTTTTGCATAAAATCCTAACCTACATCAAACTCACTCAAATTGCTCAAATCACACAGTGTGTCCCCTAAACCCCTTTCTGATTCTGATTATTAATTATCATTATCAGAAAAGGCTGCAATATTAGAATCACATAAGCTGCTTCACCAGCTCCAAATGGCTTGCCATACACCCACTCACTAGTCTGTATAATACTGAGAGCATGCTTGACGTTCCTATAAAAAACAAACAATAGATGACCCATTTCAATAGAGCCATGTGAATATGAATCTAACTACTGAAGTGAGACGCTCAGTGAATATGTCAATTCTATCACACTACGGGCACATGCTCCGTTCCATGCTACAAATCCTTTGACCTCCTTCTGGAAGCTTTATTATCCTTTCTGCTGGCAAACACTACACTGCCACGTACAGAGTCTTGAGTTCAATTAACAAATTCATATGATTGAATTTCTCCCCACAAATGTTAATTTAAAAGGCCCAGGATAAGACCTTTCGAATCATTTAAGACAGACACCAATCCAGTGCTTTTTAAACTGCTTGTTTTTTGCAGGAAGTCAAATAGTGGAACAGAAAATCTACTTTGGCAAGGCAAACTCCCTTTTTCATTTATCCTACAGAATTGTATTTCAGGCAGTCAGTGCATATACAGAAAGCCCAACAAGACTGCCAAGTGCGTGCTAGATTTTATTAAGGGTACAAAGGGTATAAAATGATTAATACAACAACGCCATACATTTCAAATTAAGCTTGACTTTTTATGGAATGCCACCGTGACCTTCTACAGCGAGGTGCTCATTGCAGAAGGTCACAATCACGTGCATCATGAAATGTCATGTCTCTCAAGGATACAAGTTAAATGAGACACTGGTTGTGATGTTCTCACTGTGAGTTATGACACAAATGGCATAGCGAGGTCGAGTACAGTTTTACGTGGCATAATGACAGTGGAAAAGTGTCATAATTATGCCACTCAAGGTAGTTTAGAACTTTACAAACACCTGAATCACCTCAACTTACAATTGAATCAAAATAAAGTTGTAAATACAAATGTTTATTAAATTTAAATTAGATTTTTAAATGCATCTAATACTTATCTTATTAATGATATTTATACAGTTGGATCTGCTACAGTCTCTGCTAAAATAAACTATAATCACTTATCCTGTGTTCATTTTTCTCTACAGACAAAACACAGATCATAATGTTCTTTTGCATAAATACAATTTGCATTCTATAAAACACCTCCAAATGAATAAATAACTGCAGTAACATAACCAATGCCACTATCTACTGATTTATTACTGCAGTTTCAATGCAGTGCAGAAATGCCATATGGTAACAGTCATGCTTTTTTTTTCAAATTACTGTAAAGCTTTATGAGACAAAGCTGAGTTGTCAGCAAATAAAAGAACAAATTCCAGAGGTAGAAGAAATGCACACATATGTATAACAATAAATTGAAGGAAAATTATATGTTGACAAGGTTGTTTGTGATAAATGTAAAAGGCAAGAAAATCTAGAAATCATGAGCGAATAAGAACAACTCACCATGGAAAGACACACGACCTCTCGCAGCATTCTTTCCGCGACTGTTTTCCGCTATGCACTCATATGTCCCTGTGTCCTCTTGTTGAAAATTTGGAATCTCCAGAATGGCGTTAGAATTTTTCAGTTTGACTTTGTTTGGGAACGAAAAGTCACTGGTTCTTCTCCAGCTGATCTTGGGAACTGGACTGTGAATACGCAACAAAGCCACCATTAGAACATACAAATTCATTTGAAAGACAAGTTTATCTAAAGCAAATATACTTTTGAACTCGGTATGTTTATTCCCTGCGAGTCAAATCATTACCTTGGCATTGCTTTTATCAAAAACAACATACATTGCATTCAAGCTATACATTTTATTATTATGTATAGGTCTTGCTTTTACATTTTATGCATTTGGCACTTTTATTCAAAGCATTCAATGTATTTAATCATTCATGCATTCCGTAGAACCAAATGCATGACCTTGGTGATGCTGCCACAATGTTCTACCAGCTACAGGAACTTTTTCCTCATTCACAGAATTCCATCTGTGGAATTATAAGGTTAACTCCAGAATTATGGTTTAACATAACATTCAGTGAGATGAAATCAATTTGGCAGAAGCTTTTATCTAAAGTCCAAGTTATGCTTTTTAATATTATGTGCAGATCTTGTATTTACATTTATCCATTGGCAGACACTTTTATTCAAAGAATTCAAGGCATTTTATTAATCATGCTTGCATTCCCTTGAAACCAAATTCATAACCTTGGCATGTCTAGCACCATATTCTAACAGCTACAACTTTTTTCATTCACACAGTTTCAGGTGAGGAATTACCAGGTCAAAATTATGGTTTAATGTAATGTTTGGTAAGAGGAAATTAGTTTGGCAGTTGCTTTTATCTAAAGTGACTTATATTGCATTCAAGCTATGCATATTATTATTAATAATAATTATTACCAGTATATAATTTTAGGGTCAGTACAGTTTTTTTCTTTTTCTTTTAGAAACTAATACTTTTATTCAGCAAGGATGCCTTAAATTAATCAAAAGTGTCAGAATTTATGTAGCAATGTCAACTTCTCATTCCTAAGAAAAATCCAGAAAAAAATATTAAGCAGCACAACTGTCAACGCTGAATATAATAAGAAATGATTATTTAGCACCAAATCAGCATATTAGAATGATTTCTGAAGGATCGTGTGACACTGAAGATTGGAGTAATGGCTGCTGAAAATTCAGCTTCGCCATCACAAAAATGTAAAATATGTTAAAATAGAAAGCAATTATTTTAAACTGTAATAATGTTTCACAGTTTTACAGTTTCTACTGTATTTTTGATCAAATAAATGCAGCTTCGGTGAACATAAGAAACATTAAACAATCTTACTGACCCCAGACTTTTATGGTAGATGCTTTTATCCATGCATTTAACTTAAGCATTTTGATCTGTTCATGCATTTCCTAGGACACAAATCAATGACACACCATGCTGGTGTTGCTAGCATCATGCTCTACCAGCTACAGCAACTTTGTCTGAGGAAGTGAAATTCCATAATGTTTGGAAAGAAAATCAATTTCCCCCTCATTTCTTCAAAGCTGTACCCTATTAAGAAAATCTGAGTGTGAATGGATCTGATTCACGTTAGAATCTGGGGTGACGTGTTCCTTGTATGGTGTGAAAAGCTATCATCTCCCGCTTTTTGAAAACCTGCATTACTCCCCTCTTTAAATGACAACCCTCTTCCTTTGAAAAGAAGCTCACAGCTCTATTTCCACACTATTTAAGGAGTAAATCTTGCGGGTCATTGCTCTCTGCAAAGAGGGCCATTATGGTGAAAATCTCTCTGTAAAAAGCTTCCGTGACAGATTGCAAATCGTATTAAGAATGAACCTGAAGTGCTGATCACAAATTCGGTGTATTTTATAACGTGGGATAAAAATAAATAACGCTAAGCAAGGGTGTGAACTCAGGCAACAGTTTGCGGCAGTAGAACGCAGACAGACGCAGGTGCATGCATGTTGGACTTACTTTCCCAAGGCAAAGCATTCTAGCTTCAGCATGGATCCTTTAGCAGCTGGAATGGTGTCGGGGAAATGAAGCTCTATTTTGGGCTCGTACTCTCCCATCGCTCCTGCCATGGGCAGACAATACAGCACAGATGCATACAGCATTGTCATTCATGATTTATGATATACAAGCTTTGTACTCTAGAATACAAGCAAAACAACAACAAATGGCAAAACACAAAGACCTGTCAATGAGCAGGGAAGCTGAGAAGATTGTGCCAAAAATACAGAGACATGTTATTAAAGATTTATGGAACACACATAATAAAAACAGGATCCATCTCAAATGGAAATGTGGCCTCCTTTGAGGCATTGTCAAGGGTGTGGGTTAGTGTTCTTAAAAGAGGCAGTTTAGCTTTCAAGACAGTGGCATAAATAGATCTCTGACATTTACGAATGAACATCTCCCTAAAAATGTCACAAGCTTCTTCAACCCAAGTGAGATATACTGCTAAAAATATGTGAAATCTATGTTAATAAAACAAACAAACAAAACAGACAGCTATGGTTGCCATAAGTTTACTGTACAAAAATATGGTGCAACATTTTATGTTTTAGAGACTGAACTTAAATTTACAGATAAAAATGTATATTTAATTAACTAAAAAATTTAAATATAATGCTAAATACTAAAATGTATTTTTTACCTTTATAATGTACTGACCACCACCTTAAATCACAGGTGGTAAATAAGCCGCATAATTACAGTTTATGACGAGTACCTATGACGAGTACTAATATGTAGAAGGTGTCATATACACAAACACAAAACATCATCATGGTAACAAATATGACACCAAAATAAAATAAAAAATGGAGGGGGAGGGGTTATTCCTTGATTATTCAGACAGGACAGTGGAGAAATGAGAGGAAAGTATTGGGTAGAGAGAGGGGATCGGGATCGGCATAGGACCTTGAGATGGGAATCGAACTCGGGTCGCCGTGAGCGCAGTTGCGCTGTATACGTTAGCGCACTAACCACGAGGCTATCGGCGCCGACTAATGTACGTATTTGATAAGAAAAAAAAAAAACTAAGAAACTGTTGTAACATGTAAATGTAACAGTATTTTACCGTAAAATTACATGAAATGTCCCATTACATCTATTACAGTTTTTTGTATAGAGGCCTGTTCACATCAGGAACGATGACTATAACAATAACTATATTAGTGTCCACACTGAAATCACATTCTGTTTATAATAAGCATATGCTGCAGCTATGTCATCTGCCACTTTAAATTTTCAAGCTCTTTCAAGCAGGATGAATTCTGATTGGATGTCAATGTTTTTATCGTTCATCATTCAAAGTTATTCCAATGATATTGTTCTCTGTGCCATTATCTTTATAGTTGTGGTGTGAACTATTCTTTTAAATTTAAAATGATTTTTTAAACAATATCGTTATCATTAATCATTCTTGATGTTAATGGCCTTAAAGGGATAGTTCACCCAAAAATAAAAATTTGCTACTAATTTGCTGTCAGTTTCTTGCACAGACCGATCTTTTCACTTCATAAGACCTCAATATATCGTCATAAGCCACGGGTGTTAATTTTGTGTTCCTTGAAATAGGAAGTTCTCAAAAACATTTTTTAGTTCTCAAAAACGTGCTGCCGCTGACTTTTATGAATCACCAAGGACCACGGTTTCATCTAAAAATCATCAGCTAAAAAGTAACCTATATCTTGGATGGCCTTAGGATTATTATTTTTGGGTGAACTATCCCTTTGAGGGAACTTACTCTTAGCAAATTCGCAGGTTTTTAGCTTAGAATCTTTGCATTATTTTACCATTAAAAATACAACCTTTTTTTTTTTACAGTGTATGCTCCTATATTGTGTTAAACTGTGCAGTATTTGATGGACACCCCTCTTACCATCATTCCTCAGAACTAAAGGTGTTGGCGAACTGAACACCCTCTCCTTGGTAATAGTATTATTAACCACGCAGGTGTAATTCCCAACATCGGACGTTTCCACTTTAGCTATGTAGAGATTCCCCGTCTCTTGGGATACAAAGCGCCGGCTGTCTTGCTGGACGAAGTGAGGGTACTCATTGAAGACCCAGGTGAATGTGAGCTCTAGAAAGATGTCAGAAACGGAGCGTTAGATCCTGACACAGACATTTATACTTTCAGAAAGGTGTTGAGTCACTTTGTTCGGTAAACTATAATCTCGGCTCAAAAGCGCGTACAAAGCGTCTGCATTACACCACTCGCTTCGCCTCGGGCTGACCTCCTTAGGGCAGGTAAGGCTCAGTAAACAGAGCGACTCTTCCTTTGTGAGGCAGCAGGAAAGGGAGCGAAACAAACTAGATTAAAGCGCCTCACTGGCACTCTTATGACACATGCCCTGTCCGGCTTCACCGTGGCTGGGGACGGAGGCTTCTCTCTTGGCGTCATTCATGCATGGCTGACTCTTACTGGAAAGGGCTGAACCAAAGAAGACCAAAGGCCCTGCCACAGTGCATTAGCGTGTCATCTACAGGAGACTGAGAGGGGGAAGGGAATGGGAATGAGAGGCTCGTGCACATGATGCAACTGTTGGAAAGGTGTACAGGATGGCTGCCACTCAAAAAGTGTCCCCCGAGACTGCACCGCACATCCTAAGACGGGGAAACACGCTGGCAGGCTGGTTGTCGTGAAGTTGAAAGCAATTCTTTATGATCAGGTCAGCCCGGGAATCCCTGCATCAGAGCTCTGTTAGCTTCATAAGAAGTGATAGCTTTTGTCAAATGCGCTGAACGTAGAGGAAGAGAGAAATTGCGATGGTTACTGAAAACACAAACAAACATGCTGTTCAGCAATACAATGGAGGATCTTTATGAGGGTGTCTGATGTTAGAGGCCTCCACAGAGAAAAATAGGGCAATCATGGGATACTTGACATGACCTCCACATTGTGATAATACAATATCAGAGTTATCTATATTCTATTATGGCATTTTAAGGAAGTGAGGCATAATAGAAATGCTGGAAAAATGGCCTACAGCTGGAAAATAAAGGCCGACAAAGTTAAAGTCAAGAGATACTTGTTCTGAATGTACTAAATGTGCCACCATTCAGTCTTTTTATTCGATATATCCATGTTTATGCCTCCACAGAGAAAAATAGGGCAATCATGGGATACTTGACATGACCTAAACATTGTGATAATACAATATCAGAGTTATCTATATTCTATTATGGCATTTTATGGAAGTGAGGCATAAAAATGCTGGAAAAATAGCCTACAGCTGGAAAATAATGGCCGACAAGGTTAAAGTCAAGAGATACTTGTTCTGAATGTACTAAATGTGCCACCATTCAGTCTTTTTATTCGATATATCCATGTTTATAAATGTAATTAATAGAATTCAGAAACAGAAAGAGCCACACAATTGAAAAGGCACATTGAAAATGTATTTTGATCAAAAATACATTTATTTAATCATCCAAAATCCTTCAGATCAGTCTAATATGCTGATTTTTTTATCAATGTTGGAAAAAGTTGTGCAACTTAAACTTTTTGTGGAAACTCTGATACTCTTTTTTCAGGATTATTTAATAAATAAAAGTTCTAAAAAACAGCATTTGTTTTGTAACATTATAAATGTAATTACTGTCATTTTTCGTCAATTGAAATTAAATATTAATAAATACAATTAAATACTACTACTAATAATAAGAAGAAATCTTACTGACGCCAAACATTTGAACGGTAGTGTATAGTGGATTTTAGTAGATGTGGAGCAGAGAATAAATTTGATCGCATACTATTTTTCAACAGAAAACATAGCGTTACCCTGGAAAAAGGTGTTTTGAATATTACTACAGTAGAACAATATAGCTTCCTCTACTATGATAAAACAGGTTGGTAATAATAAGTTCAGCAATCTCAACAGACAGCTAGATCATGATAAAGCTTTTTTTTATCTAGCGGGAAACTGCAAATGTGGAGCAGAGAAAACTTACTTTTAAAACATTTGATCACATGCTATTTTACAACAATGAGCATTCAGCATTGCTCAGGGGGATAAATAGTTTAGATGTTTCAAATATTACTAGTGTAAAACAATACAGCTTCTTCCACAATGATAAAACAGGTTGGTAATAATAACCCATTTGTCTTTTGAGTTCAATATGCAGCCTAAATCTTAACAGATAATGAGCAACTACTGTATATTGTAATACTTAAACTTATACACAGCAAAAACTTTTATAATAGAATCAGTTGAAAATTTGCAAAGCTTAGCATTCTTGTTTGCATTTTGCAGTGATAAACAATTGATTACCTACTCGGCACAGAAAATGCATTCGTCTAAAAAAAACATATTTCTCACTAATTGGGTTGAGACTTCAATTTCAGGTCTTTATTTCCATTTGCCTCCAGATTCAGGTCTGATTGAAAAGAAAGTGATCCAAATGAGAAAACAAATGAAGCCAAAGAAAAGATGGCAGGATCTACGATCCATAGTAAATGAGTTTCTTTAGAAGGTCTAATGCTAACCAGCATGCTTACTCTGAGTAAAATGACCATCAGTGTTTCAGAAACGTGTCTCTTAACCACAAAATGTGCTGATTAAATTTCTGCCTTCTCCAGCACTTTTGAATGATTTATTTAGGCTTTTTAGTCATACTTAGCCTACGTTTTCAATCGCTGGTGACATTTAAGCCAAACTTTAAAGTATTCTCATATGAAATGCTCCTCTTCTGGGTTCTCTAATTAAACAAATGCTTAATTACAGATTTATCTCAGCAAACTATAATTGCCCAGCCTATGAACCAAATTCACATCTTCTCATTTCTGACATCTCATTTGTCGCAGTAATAGTCACGACCTCTAATTGCTATTGATGTCTCTCACTGCCTGGTTCTTGTTTGCACTTGGGGTCTAATGACTTCTGTCCAATTACAGCTGGTTGAATTACAACCTCAGTCTTGTCTAAGGATAGGCGCTATATGCCTAAGAGAAGCACACTTAACATGCAAACATGCATTTCCGCCACTTTTGTTTCCAGCTTGCGAAACAGCACTGGAGTGTGAATTTCTACTGACCTTTATCACACTTCTCAAACAGTAGTGTAAAAAACAGCCTGTATCAATGGAGGCGACAAGAAACGATTGTGTTTTTTTTTCTTTACAATTTATTCACAAACAGTTCATCTAAAAGCCCTACTGCAGTTTCATATAATTTCTCAGGGATGGTGAAAAAGAAAAAATGGTTTCATGTTATTCAATGGGATGAAAGGAAGCATTTTATGGATTGAAGAGCAAGTACATATGTGTGTAGGCAGCACTTCACAGATTCCAAAGTCGAAAGTGAATTGCCATTTGCAACCCATTTTAGTTCCATCTTTTGACATTGTGATGCAGGATATAAAGAAAGTAGGGCAGGACTTTCGTCCATCTGGAATTGATTGGATTGTGAAATGTAGCCCGACTGAATGACAGTATTTGGTTATTGGTTAACAATTATACAATAACTTGCATGACCCAGTGTTGTTAACTAAAAATAAACTATTAAAATTCATTTTCAGTATTTGAAATCAAGTTGAAATAAAATATAAATATTAGTTGAAAAACTTTAAACTTAAAAACCTAAAAAAATTGAAATATTGCCTTGGCAGCTAAGTGAAATTAGCTGACTAAAATTACTGAAAATACAAAGCTATAGATGAAGCCGATAACACAATTACTAAAACTTAACTTAACGTAACTTAACTTAACTTAACTTAAATTAAAACTGCAAATATGAAACATAAGCTAATTGGAAATATTAATAAATAACTATAATGGTATAGAAATAATACTAAAATAACACCACTGCGGCATAAGTGACATCAAATGATTAAGCAATGCAGAGAGAGAGCATTTTGATTGAAGATTATGAAAACAAAAGTTTCATTTGACTATCCAGTGAATCATTCACAATAACACATTAATAAATGGCGACTTAAAATGGATATATAATAATATACCAACTTACCACCGGAATGCAAAGGTGTGCCACATAACAAAACAACCCCTTGGCCTTCCCTCACATTCACAGCACTTCTTGTCTGCGTTTTGAAGCTTTCCAGATCTGTAACAGATTAAATGTGGAATAAAATACATTTGCATGAGGCAATTATTTTTCATGCATAATGAAAACGGCATTTCATATTATAGCAAAACTAATGGTGAAGCAACATCGACTGTAATCGTTTAGTAGCGCTCAATATTTGAGAAAGCAAAAAGAAGGAAACAGAATCAGTGATTGAGAATAATCCAAAGCAGACAGTGGGTGTCTAACAATGCAGTCTAGTGAACCACTATGAGGGTGTATGAAAAAAGGGATGCTAACATCGCCTCCACCTACCAGCAGTAAGCCGCATCATTACCAGAGATATCTTAATCTCACCCACTGAGCCAGCAGCCTCCCTGTCAATACATGTCCACACAATTCATCCTCACAAATTAACAGGAGGAGAGGAAGTTGGCAGCCAGCTCGCATACCTGGCATGATAAAAACCTTCTCCTTGTTTCGTGACAGAGAAGGCCTTCTGTAACCGTAGCCTGCTGTGCCAATTCCACACCCTTAAGCAAACAAGCCAAGAGCCAAGCTCCCCAACACAAAAAATATAGAGTCAATGTGACCGATAAGACAAATTACAGAGCGGGGAAAAAAACAGAAAAACAAAAGAAGCAGAAGAAAACATCAGGATTAGGGAGAGGTGGTGGAAAACAGTGGGAAAGATTAATGAGAGATTCCCCGCTGACCGAAAAGAAGTCCCACACAGCCGGGTCATACTGAGCCGTGGTGGAAGTGGAAAGAGCAGGACTTGCTCGGCTCATAGTAACAGGATGAATGGATTAAGAGCCGGCGCGGCAGAGCCACGGGCGCTGATTAATGGTCTCTTGTGTTAAAATCTATAAGGCTGGACTCATGTGATGGCTGTAGGCCGTGTGGTAAGCCAAACATCTTCACAGTGAATGGCGTTGCTTATAAATGGAAAACATTCATATATGGATGTGAAGGATGAAGAGTTGAGCGTTTATTGATTAATTTCCATAACTCTTATTGATTCTTTCTTCTTATGGGACGGTGGAACTTTCAACTTCAAGGTCCTATTCATTAAAGGCCTGAAGCTTGGCATACAACTGGTGTTCAATTTTATAAGTGTTAATAAAAAGTAAAAATAAAATAAATAAATACAAAATGAACGGTTTTATGAAAATAAAAATCCTAAAACCTAAAAAAAACCTTTTTGACACCAAAATTATTTGAAATAAAATAAAAACGTCCACAAATAAATTTTTTGATTTTAATATATGGTTTGTCAACTTGAAACCCTTACAAACATATTAACCATTAAAAAGCCTCTAGATAGCAAAAACATTTCAAATTGATATATAACTGTTATTTAATATTGCTAATGCTTTAAATAATACAAGCGGTGAAACTGAATAAACGAAAACTACAAAAAAAGTTAATAAAAAATTAAACAAAAACTAAACTAAGTTAAAATGCTAATTGCAAATAGAAAATAAATAAGAATTACAAAATTGAAAAAATAAAAATAAAAATTAAGTATTTAAAATACATTAAAACTATAATAACCATGAATGCTAAGGCATTGCTATGTGGTTGCTAAACTGTTCTAAGCGGCGATATACAAAAATACAAATTTAACATGCTTTTGATCACCCCAATACAATTTTATTTTTATACAGGGTCTGCTGGTTAAAGATCTGAATAGGCTTTGAATTCTAGTGAGCTTGTGTGAGCCATGGTTTGTCAGGTCACAAATCTGCTCTGCTGCTATTGCACCCTTGAGAAAGGTACTCATTCCAAACTCGCCCCAGGAGAGCCAATAGAAAGCCACCATGGAATAAATCTCCCAATGACAAATTTTACAGTTAAGCATGTATTTCAAACTGGCTTGCAGATGCAGGAGGCAGTTTTCAACAGCTGTCTGAAAGATAAGAAATGCCACAATGACATATTATCAAAGTCAGCAGCATTATCATCCTATTAAAATCATAATTCCCCTTTGACTAACCAATGATCAATATAGGAAATAAATGTCAAGCAAGTCCTGTTAACCAGTCCCCTGAAGTGAAATTCATTATCCCACCCATAAAGATGGGAATCTGTCTCCTAAGGGGCACGTGGGATGCCCTGTGTATTCGCATGGTTGGATCAATAGTTAGACGGCACGAGTGTGAAGAGTCTTTGCTGTCAGAGAAAAGGAGTGCATGGCCAGGCTTGCTCTCATCCCAAACGACCCTTCTCCCATCTTAAAAAAAACTGATTGGAGCTTCTTATTTCTTTGAGCATGCACAAGGACAGCATTTTAAATCATCTGCACAGAGGCCAGGTGGCTAGATGGCTATTCTCATACTTGGCAGTTTACTTTGTGAAGCAGACAGTATGGGTATTAATATGGCGAGTCAATACGCAGCGTACAAAGATGCTGTTGAAGCTGGTGACTAATGAGAATGAGTGATGGAGTTTGAAGTCGATGAAATGGCGCTTCACCCGGTGAAATTGTCACATTTGACAGCTCGTTTGATTGCTCTTTCTTCAGCAATGCCATGTGAATACCAAATACCAAAACTGGTGCTTTTACAATATCGCTTATATACAGCCAAATGCACCTCCGGTTTGCCACTGTTTGGACAAATCGAGCCACAAACTTGATATTGGTTGAGCTTATGTTGCTATGTTGGATTTAGATATTTCAGTTAGACTTCAATACAGTAAAAAAAACAGTAATATGTATTTATTATCTTTTATATATATAGTGGCTTTGGAAAAAAGCATAGAATACAGTACTTTGATAAATTAACCAAAAACTCTAATTTTAACAAAAACTTTCACATAACTTACATGCAAACTGTAGTGTGGCTCTCTGGCTGAGAATGGTTCCCCGGTTGTTGGAGGCAGTGCATTGGTAGACACCGCTGTCTTGGTCCCGATCCAGGCCGGTAATGATCAGGTTACCCCCAGACAGGCGACGCCTCTCGTCACCAAGAAGATCAATGAGCGTTCCGTTTAGAGACCATCTGGAGAGACGCAAACACAATCAGGAGTGTGGTCTCCAGAGAAGCTAACTCACCAATATTCATCACATGCATCGATCTGATGAAGCCTGCTTCATTATACAGCCAGATTCAGCATGAAACAAAGCTCATTGATGACATTTGTTTTCCTTCTTTGTTCTTCTGCAGTACAATCTGACTAATAACTGATGAAAGCAAGCAAAACAGTGCTGAAGATTAAGAATACGAAAAATCTAATTATTTATTGACCTCGAAGATGTGCAATGTTTAGTCGTGAGTAGGTTTGTTTTAGTTTCCAATAAAATTGCTAGGAAAAACTATGAAAGGTTCATTATTTTTCAGTGTGATTTCAATTATTTAGCTACAGTTATATGTGGAATATAAAAATATTAAATATGGAGTGTGAAGAAATAGAGCAAATTAAACACAGCAACTTGGACTGCTTGACAAAATGCTGCTTGTTGCTAAATAATTTTTGGTAACACTTTCTATGAAGCCTGTATTTTTAATACATTATAAGGGTATTCTTAAGGCATTATAATTAATGCATAATGCATTATAAAAAAAACGTATAATATATCAACTCATGAATAATCATAACAACAATTATAATACATCATAATACTTACGTATTTGTGGTTATAAGTTTAAGAGTATGATTATTTATAACACACAATGGACACCATATTAAATTAATTTACAGAATAATGGACTGTATCATATCTTGACATTTTTTATTTAAGATCTGCACAGTATCTTACTACAGCTTGTGAGTGGTTATATGTCGAGTGTTATTTGAGTGTTTCCTGTGGAGCTAATGTTAATTA